TGCTTGTTAGTGTGGTCTAGGGCTGAACGATTAATCGTTTGAAATCAAAACTGCGATTTGAAAGAACGCGATTAGCTAATTGTGAAGATGGCGATTGAAATGTAGGTTAATTACACAGCGCATCTGACCCATTTTAAACAGTCATTCAGCTACAAATTCATTCTGATGTTGTCCTTGAGTGACAGATCTGCTCACCAATCACATGCGCCATGTGCCTCCTGTTACGGTCCTACTCACCAATCAGAGCGGGCACAGGGCGTGTACATTTTCCAGCAACAAATGAAATTAGAGGAAAACGTGTTAATGGTGCCAGCTAAACCGACACAAGCAGCAGCTGTGCCGCAGTTTTGTCCAGCGGATCATTTAGCTTCCATAGGTTGTTGACATGTTGTCATTTTGTGTGCTTCAACTACGGATAACAGCTCTCTGTGAGCCTGTTCCGTTCCGCTCTCTGCAGGCTAACGTTACATGTCTACATGGTGCATTTCAGAATAAGAGCATTTTGCCTGTTTGATTTTGCTGACTTGTTCAGATTTTGCTTATTTGTTCAGTTGTCCTTTTTACTTGATTTTGCTTTTACTATGGTTAAGCTCAGCTGCATCTACACACCTGGGCTCAATCAGCTCATCATCCCTCCCAGTCCGCTCACCTGCCTCTCATCATGTCATCAACCTGCAGTATATGTTTTCCTTGGGACTAACTTTTGTTTCTTGTACTTCAGGCTCACCGCCTGCTTCCCTGCCTTATGTTTGCGTTCTGCTGGACAGCCAGCTACACTTTCCCATTCGCCACTGCCCACACCATCTCATGTCTTCTGACTACACCTCTGTTTGCCATTTATTCTCAAAATACTAGAAGATAGATGACCATGTTTCCCTGCTGCTGTGTATTTGGGTCTGTTAAAGCTTGGAGGTAATGATAACACTTGTAAGATACTGATACATGTCATAATGTAAATGGTTAAACAGTCCCCTCTGTGGTTCCATTCTGTTTGACTTCAGGTGAGTAGCTGCACAACACTGAATTACTGTGGACAGACTATTGCTGTGTCTCATTTCGTGTACTTCCTTGAGTATACTATAATGCAGTACACTGTGTACACTATGTACTTATTTGCTTAGTGCGTTAATTTTGACAGGGTAGTGTTGTCTCAAATCAAACACTGCTGTTGTGCACTAACCGGAAATTATTGCAATCCCCCCAGCACAGAGGCCGCCTTCAGAGTTCCAAAGTAACAGCCAGGCTTTATCACCCAAAATAAATACTCAGAATCCGGTTTATTGCCAAGTTCAAACTTACAAGTAATTTTCTTAGAATTATATAAAATGAAAGCAATAGAAAGCAAGTATTGTAACCAACTGTACACTAACAATGTAATGTCTGATATGATAATAATAATAATTAATAATAACGTAACGACAGACCCCTTTTCATACTATTTCTGTTTATCTATTTTTTATTTTCTGTACATCATGAGCCAGATGTCTCTTCATTTAATTTAAATTACTCAAAATGTAATGACAGAATAACAGCGGTACGGACTATCTTAAAGCTGTGTTTTCTTTTGCTGTTGTTGCTGGAGTCTGCAGCGGTCTGTGACTGCGGGAGCAGAAGGCTCTGTGAGCGGACAGCTGACCAGCTACGCAAGCTCCTTGACGCAAGCGTCCCCCACCACCACTTGCGGAGCTTCTCAACTCCGAAAACGTTCAAGCACATTTTTGATCCGCCATCACTTTTTGTGAAACTGTCAATATTTTTTTGATTATAATATTTTATTCATTTGATTTCTCGCCTCAAAACTTCTCAGAAGTGGATTTAGAGATGAAACAGTGTATGAAACTTCCACTAAGTAGCTAAAATCGCAGTCGTTGAGGGTGAGAAGTGTCCACCACTCCACACTGAAGCCGTTATGAGTGCACCATCCGGGTACTCACAGTGCACTGCATATTGCCGCACTTCTCAGTGTGAACGCACTTTTGCCCTCAAAATAGTGTAAAAGTGTGAGTATGGAAGTGCGTAGGGTATTTTATGAGTTTTTATAAAATTTAACGTTTATCTTTTTCTTGTTGTTTTATAATTATGTATTTTATTGTTTTTTAATGTGTATATCTTGTCATGTGTTCTCAGCTTTTTATCCAACTCTGCCACTTTTATGTGTCTCTGTTTTCTGTAAAGTGTACTGGGACCACGCAGCTGGTGATTTTAAACTTTAAATAAATCTGACTTGACTTAACTGCCTAGCTCTACCTTAATAGCTTATTTAACCAGGACTTTCTCTCCTCCTAGGCCGGCATCTTACTGGGTTTGTTCTGTGTCTTTCTTTTTGGTTTCTCCTGACAACACACAGACATCCATTCACTGCTGACAACTGATAGTCATACCACATCTTCTTGGTGATTATTTGTAATTTCTTAACTTCTACAATAAACACATAATTGGCATGCAAACCTGTTGTGTCTCCCCTTCTTTTTGTCACGGGCTAAGAGCCGGCTTGTGACAACATTAAAATATATTTATGGTGTAACATTTACAAAATATAGGCCTACAGTTTGCCCTAACTTTAAATACTTTGTTTTCCGCATTTTACATTACTTTGGTGAGCCGCCCAGGTACATTAACATATAACAAAGTATATTTGGCGACCCATTTTAGCATTTTGCAGAAAAACACAGAGAGAGATGTTATCAGGTACTACATTATGAGACATGGACATTTTACAAGCATGGAGCGACAGTGAACAGTGCAGATGTCACTCGGTAGGCTACCACGTTAGTTTCCACATGCGGCACACTTGTTCCTGTACCTAAAAGGTCTGCAGAGTACGAACGACTGTGGTATTCTCCACAGTTCTGATGAAGTGCTTTGAGAAACTGCTTCTGCAGTACATAAACAACATCCCAGGCAGCCCACCCTCACCAGTTTGAGGAAGCCATCTCCACCACCCTCCACTCAGCCCGCACACATCTTGAAGTTTGCGCATGACACCACCATCATCGGCCCATCTACTGAGCATGCTCACTTCAATATATGTTCTGCAGCTAAATACATATACATGTTATGTTTTGACATAATGTCAGAACTGTTACTTCTTCACATTCTGATTATGTTAGTTCATTATATAAAAATTCTGGCCAAATTTTACACATTGCACCTATAACCAAAGGACAAAATAATATTGACAGCCATCCTACCAACTCAATGGTATGATATGTTATAAGTGATACAGTGAGATACAGTATCAGTTGACATATACAAAAATGCCAACAAACACTGGCTTTATTTGATCAGTTTTGTCACTCCTATTACACAACAACTTACATCTTTATCATTCTTATTTACCCACAGAGTTTGTTTATCTCAGGTTATTTCTAACACAACTACACCAAAATTTAATATGAGTACTGAGTATGAGCACTTGAAAAGGCCGTGTGGGTGTGACGGGCATTTAATTAAACAGCAACATATTCATCTGAACAGGGTTAATCTCCTCATTTGTTTCTGCCTTGTTGTGTGGAAAAAAACACACCTTAATAACAAAACCAAATGATTTTCAATTAAAATATCTCAAAACAGCAAGGAATACCATTTTACTAGTCATTTATTAAAATCTGCCATTTAAAGCCAATTTGTACTTTCCCATTAGGACTTAAATGGCAATTGTAAGATTTTGTTTAGCTTCACCTGAGACAGTTTGATGGTACTAATGTCTGTCCTACAGCAAGTCAGAGTCTCAGCTGCATTTAATGCATTTTTGAAATGTCTGTAGCTCCCAGGTAAACTTACAACATGCCGATGATCAAACCTTCCCCCTCTTGAGACTATAAGCTACTGAACTACAGCACATTCCCCTACCTAAACCATCCTGGTACCTGTTTTCTGGAGCCATCCTGGTGAAAAGGTGTGTTGCCGAATTTGACCTTGATTATTGCTTTCATTTGTGGACGAAGCAGCGCCCATACACTCCCAATCTCCTGTCGTTCTTACTGAACACATTCACTAGCTCAGACTCCCCCTGCCTGAGCAACAGGGCTAATCTTTCAGGTGATGCGGCTCAGGCAGCTTCGAATTATTGCATTAGAGAGAGGGAATGCTTTAACCTTCTTGTTAGGGCTGAGTAAGTGTGACAAATTTGGACTTGTCTATCTATGTGAACAACAGTGCTGAGAGTGCAGCCTAGGGGACAGAATTACCTAAACGCCTTCTATACTCTTTGACCTTGAAGTTGGCCTGTACCTAATCCCAACACATTCTCCCTGATCACAAGTCATTTTCTGACATGGCAACTCGGATTTCAGGATGACGAAACATAAGAAAAAACTACTTCCATATACTTTTGTGAGCTCATTGTTGTTGGAATTATGAAACTACAAAATGCTTCTTGAGGAACTGTGTTGCATTGCTCGGAAAAGATGTGTTGGACTGTGTTACATTGCAGTGTTCCGGGTATGAAAAGTGAAGCCAATGCAGAAGTGCCTTAAACCTGCATTCTTTCTAACGGCCAGCAGGGGGCGACTTTGATGATGAGTCTATGGTCTCAGTCACTAGTTTTGAAGTCTTCAAGGTGTGCTTTAGGGCATAGCTACCTTGTGATTGACAAGTTGCTACCACAGGGATGTGTCAATCAGGACGAAGGCAAATCGTATCCGTTACACTGTGTACATTTAACTAGCTTTTAACATGTTTTTAGGTGCTGTCTGTGTTTTCCATCTAAGCACTAACGGTGTGTTTTCAGTTCATGAAAGTAAAATGTAACATTTTGGTTGCCTAATAATGTCTTGTTAAGCACTCGGTTGTAGTCAAAGACACTCTATGGAGTCAGCTGTTCATCTTTCATTCTTCATCACAGAATGAAATGGACCAAAATCAATGCTTGTTAACAAAAACACATTGGGTGCCTTGGTGAGATGCATAGTCCCATATAAATAAAAAGGTCCCTCAAACTTAATGCAAGACATTTACATACACACAGAAAGAATATATAGCTTTCAGAGATAACTCACCTCAGAGGTCTTGGCACCGCTCTCTCTCTGCTCCAGCCCACAGGGTTCTAAGCTGCTCTGCTCCCTCTGCAGAGAACAACAACCAGTTGCATAAGTAACTCTACATAGTCACACCAAGGGTAACACACTGATAGTTGGTGCACTGTATTTGTATTGAGGAACACTGAATTTTGATTTGTGACAGTGAGCACTGGAATTCCTAAACTGCAAAAAAATCACTCTATAATACAAATATACATACTGACAAAAGTCCTGACTGTGCATATGGTAAATACATTTAATATGACTTGAAGAGAAGTAGGATTTTGAACAGGAACATTACTGTTTATGGTTGGAGCCTCAAACCCAAAGCCACAGGGGTGCCCCCACTCATTTATTCATGACTAGTGTAGCGTATCTGCCCCCAAGAGGCCATTAGGAGGCGTAATAATCTCCACAAACAAACAAATGCACTCCAGATCATGCAGAGCCTCTCTGCAGTACTGCTGAAGTGCAGGAAACCTCTTGTGTATGGCACAAGAAGAAAAAATCTGCCAAATGAACTATTACAAATTTGACTTCAGGACAGACCAGAAGACTAAATGCCTTGCTATGATGGACATGTTGACAGTGCATAACATACTGTAGTGTTTTTAAACTTAAAGTACAACTGTGCTTAGACTGAGCAGACATTACAAAATCATATGGCATGTTTAATAAAGCAACTAAGTATGCTTTTTTAACAGATGAATTAAATAAACAATTCCCTAACTTAAGATCACCCGCTGTTTTATACAACTTTAACACTACTCAAGCTTCTGAGGACAAGCAGCAGAAATTGTCACTGTAACATAGCATGTGTTTAGAAACTGACTTTAACTGCCACTGATTATATTAATTATCTAACTGTGATCTTTATTATTTTTGTTTCCAGCATGGTCTTACAGTGTCTTTGTTAGAGTGTATAACTATACATAATTCCTAAATCAACATCTTATACAAAGCTTATGCCGGAAGTGTCATTCGTAACAGAAAGGGTTAAAACTAATTACTTATAAGTTCCTGCTCACAGTTATTGTCCCTAAAGTCCTGGAAATATTAATTTAATTTTGCCTTAATGAACTAAACTGTTAGTTACTTCAGTGCTTTTGGTTTTATCTATATCCCTACAAACTGCTTACAAAATGTATTTAGTTTTTAATATATTTAAATGACTTATCTGACCCTGTCAATTCAGTTGGATGGGACCATCTGCTATCTCCATTATTTGACAGGACATTTGCCTAATCTTCAGAGGGCTGATTGTGGTAACAGAACAGGGGATGTAACAGCAGGGTACTGATGACCCATGACAACATGAGGTCATCAGCCTCTGAGGACTGTTCTAACTAATCCCCTTCACTTATCCCTATCCCGGTACTACTGGATGACCTCAGCAAAGTGTTTCAGCAGCTCATGTCATTCGAGGGGCTTCTTCATAAATTGTGTTCATGATCTGTTGTGAAATGTATGTTCATGTCCATTATAACTGATTACTTGCTGCCACAGAAAAATGGTATGATGCAAAGTTGGACTGCAAAGTAAATAGGATTACTAGTGGATTACCAAACTGGTTGGTCCAATTCCAAGTCAAATATGCTATTAGTAACTTGTGTGGTGTACACAGACATATGAGGTCTATACTTTCACACTGGCTAAGGGGCTCGTTCAACCAACAAGCAAAAACTAAAGCTGCATCATACCAGGAATTACTATAGTCTAATTCAAGTTTATGGGCAAACCTCAACTGACATGCTTCTATGTAAAGATGTTTCTCTGTCTATTGCTGTTCCACTGTATTGGCATATTCAAACAGGTCTGTAAGAAGTTACATACCGTTCAGTAATATCAGTAGAAAACACACAGGCAAAGCTAGTAGAAATATATTCTACACACTGTGACACTTCCCTATTGAGAATGCTTTCACACAGATTTTGAAGAGGCTATCTCTTGAGGAGATCAAACAGACACTGTACATAACACAAAATGCAATATTGCAATAGAGTGGGGAATGCATGGGGTGTCTGAGAACCATCATTCATCCACATCTCATTGTTCTTGCATATTATTTTTGCTATGTTAATATTTTTTTTTAATTATGAGGAACTGACACTAAAGCCTGACTTGCCAATAATGACTCAGAAAGATGAGGTTGGAGTACAATGGTGCTGCATTGTGGTAGGGCTGATCTTTCCTTTAAAACTATATGGCACATTTTGCAGCTTGTTCATAAATTGTGTACATTTTGTATTGTCTGAAGGGTAAACATAACAGCTCTAGCTTCTTGGAGCCAAAGCTATAGTGATTAATCTTTAATGCATTTTCAGTCCATCATGGCCATCAGCCACTCAGCACCCACTAATTAGAAGCATGTTCACATACATCAGCTTAATAATTAATTTAGCTACTTCCTGCAAATAGCACCTTTGTTTCCAACTGTAAATACATTCATCTACTCATGTAGGTGACTGGACCTGTACTGTTAATCATGAGTCTACGCTGTGCTTACACTCACTTTTTGATGTTTTGGATTTTTGATGTTCAAATGTAGTTGATAACCTCAGGCATGAGTGAAACCGCAAATACAAGAGCCATACCGGATCGGACGTCACCCGGGTCAACAAGGTCTGCGTCAGGTGCTACGGAACTAGGGCAACCTGATGAAAAATGGGTTACTGGAAGACATTCATGGACTAGAGCGGAAAATATGGATCTGATGCAACAAGCCCTTACAGCACAGAATCACTGAACATAAGGGCGACTGACCTATGATTGAAGATCATAACCAAGCTTGACCCTCAACAACCAAGACTGCCAAGGCTAAGTGAGTAAGTACCCTCTGAGTAAGTACCCTCTGAAATTCTGCTAGAAGATGTGAATGCAGCAGTACATACTTTCCCTACTAGCCCCAAGGAAGGGGGGCTGTACAGTGTCTGTGTGATCTCCTCAAGAGATGTGAATGCAGCACTACATACTTTCCCTACTAGCCCCAAGGAAGTGGCTACCTAAGAAATACAACAAGCTGTCGATACCTGAGGTTCTGGAGACTGCCAAACAAGACTTACTGCTCTGGCTACCCGCCTAAAGAGATACAAGGGAGAAGCAGAAGTCAGGAGAACAAACCGGATGTTCTCCACCGAAACATCCAAAGTGTACTCTCAGTGGCAGGGTAATAACACAAGATAAGATCCACCCAGGGCTGAGACTGAACAGTACTGGCAGCACAAATGAACCAACTGCTGATGGATGGGACCCACCCAGAATGCTTAACCCAAGGACGGACAGTCCTGATCATGAAGGATCCCCAGAAGGGAACAATCCCATCCAACTACCGGCCAATACCCTGCCTCTGCACAACATGGAAGCTCCTCTCAGGCATCATAGCGGCTAAGATGAGTAGGCACATGGCTCAATACATGGACAGGGCCCAGAAGGGAATGGGCAGTAATACCAGGGGAGGCCAAGCACCAGCTACTGGTTGATAGAGCAGTTACTCGAGACTGCAAGACCAGGCAAACCAGTCTGTTTACCGCCTGGATTGACTACAAGAAAGCCTACAACTCAATGCCACATACATGAATACTGGAATGCTTGGAAATGTACAATATCAACAGGACACTAATAGCCTTCATCAAGAACTCAAAGGGGCTGTGGAAGAAGTCTGGAAGCCAACTCAAAGCCAGTTGCACAAGTCACCATCAAGTGCGGCATATACCAAGGCGATGCACTATCCCCGCTGCTGTTCTGCATAGGCCTGAACCCCCTCAGCCAACTCATCACAAAGGCTGGCTATGGATACTGGTTCCGAAGTGGAACAACCATCAGTCACCTCCTCTACATGGATGAAATCAAGCTGTATGTCAGAAATGAGCGAGACATCGACTCACTGATCCACACTACCAGGATCTACAGCAACGACATTGGAATGTCGTTCGGACTGGACAAGTGTGGTCGCATGGGATCCCAAAGAGGGAAAATTATCAGAACCGAGGGGTTGAACTACCAGAAGGCCACATTGTAGATGTTCAGGACAGCTACAAATACCTTGGGGTTCCGCAGGCTAACGGAAACCATAAAGAGGCAGCAAGGAAGTCCGCCACAGCCAAATACCTACAGAGAGTAAGGCAGGTCCTGAAAAGTTAGCTGAATGGGAAAAACAAGATCCGATCCATCAACACATACGCCCTGCCAGTCATCACATACCCCGCTGGTATAATAAACTGGCCAAAGGAGGAGATAGAGACCACTGACATCAAGACAAGAAAGCTCCTCACAATGCATGGAGGGTTTCACCCCAATTCCAGCACCCTGAGACTGTACACCAAGCGTAGCGAGGGAGGCCGAGGGCTAGTGAGTGTCAAAGACCACTGTCTAGGATGAAACGGCAAAGATCCAGGAGTACATCTAGAGGATGGCCCCCTAAAGATGAAGGGCTTAGTGAATACCTCAGGCAGCAGAAACCCGAGGGTGAGGACAAGGAAGATGAAGAACCTACATGGAGAGACAAGCCGCTGCACGGCATGTACCACAGACAAATAGAAGAAGTGACTGATATCAAGAAATCCTACCAGTGGCTGGAAAAGGCTGGACTAAAGGACAGCACAGAAGCACTAATCATGGCGGCACAAGAACAGGCAAAATCAATAGAGGCTGGGGTCTACCACCCCTGAGACAGTACAGGGTGTAAGATGCAGGCAGGAAGTGCATCCATGGGACACCATAACCAGGTAGCTGGCATAGTGTACAGGAACATCTGCCATGAGTATGGGCTGGAAGTCCCAAGGTCAAAATGGAAGACACCTCCTAAGGTAGTTGAGAATGACCGAGCTAAGATCCTGTGGGACTTCAAGATCCAGACTGACAAACTGGTGATGGCTAACCAACCAGACATCGTGTTGATCGACAAACAGCAGAAGAAGGCTACAGTGATAGATGTGGCATTCCCAAGCGACAGCAACATCAAGAAGAAGGAACACGAGAAACTTATATATATAATTACTTAAATACCAAGAGCTGAAAGAGGAGCTAGAAAAGATGTGGAGAGTAAGAGCAACAGTGGGACCAGTGGTAACCAGAGCACTGGGGGCTGTGACCCCCGAACTGGGAGAGTGGCTACAGCAGATTCCAGGTAAAACATCAGAGGTCTCTGTTCAGAAGAGTGCAGTCCTAGGAACAGCTAAGATACTGTGCAGAACACTCAAACTCCCAGGCCTCTGGTAGAGGACCCAAGCTTGAGGATGACACATACCACCCCGCAAGGGGTGAGAGGGGGATTGTTTTTATATATATATATAATTTTATTTTTTATAGTTTCTGTTTTACTGGCCCCCACAATACACTTTAATGTTTATTAGTACTCTACAATTTATTACAAATCAGACATTGTAAAAAACTGACTCTTATTGATATATTTTGTTGTACTTTTGTTCAAAGTACTATTTGTAACAATAGAAAAGTTTCTTTTTATATTGCATTATGTCATGGTATCTTGGTATAGTCTCAACATAGCAAAATTTTAGGGAGAATTTTTGTTTATGTCATGTGTTTTCTTTGTTGACCAGATGAGAATGGTTTGAAGAAGGTTCAGCCTTAAGGGGAACCAATTATTGCTTCTCAACTAAAAGGTGGTACAGTGAGGTGAATAGAAGAAGATGACCTAAGAGTACGGGTGGGTGTATTAATATGAAGGAGGTCAGTGAGGTACCGAGGAGCGAGGTTATGAATGGCCTTGAAGGTCAGGAGCAGAGTGTTGAAATCAATGCGGTATTTAGCTGGGAGCCAATGAAGCTGCTGAAGGACAGGAGTAATATGATTAATAGAAGGGGTTCTGGTGATGATACGGGCAGAAGAGTTCTGAACCAGTTGAAGTTTCTGTATGGATTTGAGAGGAAGACCAACGAGAAGAGAATCAATGCGGGATGTGAGCAGTATGTGAACGAGAATGGCTGTACTAGTGGGTGAGAGAGACGGTCGGAGGCGAGTAAATGGAAGTATGTAGACCGAGTGATATTATTAATTTGAGCTTGAAATGAAAGTGTGCTGTCGAGGATCACACCCAGACTCTTGACCTGAGGGGAGAGGGAAACTGTGGAGTTGTCAATGGTAAGAGAAAAAGGAAGTTTTTCCTTGCCTCATTCGCCTAGTGCTTGCTCTTGGTGGGAACTGTTGGGCTTCTGTAAATAGCATCATAGAGTACGGTCTAGACCTCCTCTCTTATGAAAAGCACTGTGAGATAACTGTTGTTGTGATTTGGTGCTATATAAATAAAACTGAATAGAAAAATTGAAAAACTGTCAGATTTAGTCAAAGTGGATTTGGTGCCAATGAGGAGAACCTCGGGTTTTGTCACTGTTAAGTTTGAGGAAGTTGCAAGAGAACCAGGATTTGATTTCCGAGAGATGTGGTAGGTTTGGTGGACAGGTAGAGCTGGATGTCATCTGCATGACAGTGGAAATGAATGTTAAATTTACGAAAGATATGGCCAAGAGGAAGCAGATAGAGGATGAACAGAAGGGGCCCCAAGGCAGAGCCCTGGGGGACACCGGTAGTGACAGGGGGATAGCTCTGATTTGAAATGTTTGAGTTGTGCGGCCAGAGATATATGATTTACACCAGTCCAAGGGAGTGTCAGTGAAACCAATAGAGACTAATCTCTCAAGGAGGATGTTATGAGAGATGGTGTCAAAGGCTGCACTCAGATCAAGGAGGATGAGAATAGTTAGTAGTCCGGAATCAGCTGTCATGAGAAGATCATTGGTGATTTTTACTGTTTCTGTTCTATGGCAGGGACGGAAACCAGATTGGAATTGTTCATAGAGGTTATTGTTAGACATGTGTGAATGGACCTGAGATGCAACTGAAATAAGACAGAAGTTGTTGAAATTGTTGGGATCTGCACCAGGATTCTTAAGTATAGGAGTTATTGCAGCTGATTTTAGTGACGAGGGAACAATACCAGAGGTGAGAGAAGAATGTATAATGGTAGTTATTTGGGAAGAGAGAGACGGTAAGCAGGTTTTTACTAAGACGGTTGAAGAGGGTCAAGCTGACAAGTAGTTGATTTTCGAATGTCTAATAATAACCCTAACCCATTTCAGCAACAGAGGGAAGCGAGAAACTTTAAAATATAAGTATGTATGCTGTAGAAAGAGCATCCTTGAAGTGGAGAATGTGGTTTTTTATACATTTCTTGGTGCACGAGTCCACTTTTCTTGTAAAGGCGTTCCAGGCCGTACCTTTTACCTTGAGCTGGCATAGTTCTGATGTAAACCATGGGGCAGAATGGGTGAATGAAACAGTCTGGGTTTTTAAAGGAGCCAGAGAATTTAAAATGTTTTGTAGGCCATCGTTGTAATGAAAAACCAGATCATCAGTGTTGGAAAAACAGTTTATACTGGGGAGGCAGTCAGTTTCAGTAGAGAGAGTGTTTAAATTAATGTCCTTAATATTTCTGAATGAAATGACACGGGGCAGTTTTATTTTGGACATTGTGAGGTTGACATTAAAAGAAGGGACCTGTACCGAGATGGTTTAAGAACCTGCAAGTACTAATGTCCAATAAACAAACAACATCAAACTTAAGGCAAGGCTTTAGGACCAATTCAAAAAAAGGAATGGTCAGAGGCCAGGATATAGTGACTTTTAGTCTCTACTATGGGTGAAGCCCCAAAAACATAGAATACTACATCTCCCATAATGCAACTAAATGGTGTCCTGTGTTTCCCATTAATTAACAAGACCATGTCGGCCCACCATAGTCTAATTTGCTCCGCCGTAGTTTCAAAATGAATTGAAAATATTTAACTCTCATAACATAATAAAGTCTTTCTTTACAAAGACAAGTGTTGCAGTATGAGAGGCTCTGAAGTCTGCATGTTACACGATACGAGAACCACATACAACATAATTTATCAAATTGGGTCGGACTTTTAGCACGAGGATACACATGTGACAAAGTCCGGTTTTCAAAATAAGGTGTCTATACAGTATGGAAATAACAAGATCAATTGGATTATATTCACAGAAAGTTTATAACATATTACATGTGTTCATTAAAAGTTTTTAAAAAAACCAACAATAAAATGTTAGGGAAATATATTAAAAATTAAAATATTAAATAAAATTGTTGACTTTTGTTGCTGTTTCATCACCATTTATACTGTAGCTATACAATGGGTTTACAATCAAATAGTTCCCTAGAGTACAACATTGTTTACAAGAGCGCAAAGTTCGTCATAGTTGGCTTTTTAATTTTGCACCAAGTAAATGCATTTAACTTTAAAATGTACAAAATTTTCTTCCGGGAGGGCATGCCCCTGGACACCCCAAGAAGTTCCAAGGTCCACCCAGCATAGTCTCTTAAAATCCTGTGGGAAACACTGAGTGTCTTTCATTAGACCCACCCTGCCTCCTAAATGCCCACTTCTTTCAAAATCTGCACCTCCAGTTTGTAACTTATTGTATAAAGACATTATACACCTGTTGTCACATGCTTTTATTATGTTGATGTTGATGATGAAGTTTGTAGAGGAAATTTTGATCCGACAAAAAATGTTGCAATTAGCCCCTAGTTGGCGCTATTCCAAAAAAATCACATTGACTTACATGTATTTTGTATCTCCACAACCACAACTCAGATTGATACCAAATTTTGGTGCAATTCGGCCAAAAGGTGTCGCTATAATGGAAGCTCAAATACCGTCAGAAAATGGGATTTTCAACCAATTTGTCCTTATAACTACGCGCCACTAAATTGCACATTTATAAACCTTATTACTACGTGTTTGGGGGATGCTACTGATTCCGACAGTATAGGATACGCCTCTGTGCGATGATGTTTTCATTTCGCTAAATCGCGAAAAATGGAAAACCTATTTTAATTAACCCCTCCAAAGCCGCAAGTCCGATCGCCACGAAACTTGGCACAGACCATCTCTGGGCCGAGCCGAAGAAAGTTTGTAGAGGGAATTTTGATCCGCCAAAAAACATCCAAATTACAGGCCAACTAATTTTAGCGCAAACGCTAAAAACAGGATGTCCTGTAACATCTTTGCAATGGCAATCTACGCCAAACTCGGGGAACTTATCTGGCACACCCTCCCAAGGGGCTTTGTGAAATCTTGCGTCAATCGGCCTTTAGGTGGCGCTATTAATTGGAAATCCATTTTATTTCATTATTATTATTATTATTATATTCAAACAATGTCAGACACTTTAGTTTTCTCTGGACCCCTGCCAAATCTGACCAGTGATGACATGTATAGCAGCATGTCGTCATTCCGCCGCTGGTTGTCGTTGTCGAGGTGGTGTCCAGCAAACGATGTGGGCTTTGTAGATCATTGGCAGACTTTCTGGGGAAGACCGGGTCTGATTCGGAGAGACGGCATTAATCCCACTTTGGAAGGAGCAGCTCTCATTTCTAGAAATCTGGACAAGTTTATTAGTGGACCAAATCCATGACAACCCAGAGTTGAGACCAGGAAGCAGAGTCGTAGAGGAGGCACAGGTCGAGAAAAAGGAAGTTTTTCCTTGCCTCTGTCGCCTAGTGCTTGCTCTTGGTGGGAATTGTTGGGCTTCTGTAAATAACATCATAGAGTACGGTCTAGACCTGCTCTTTTATGAAAAGCGCTCTGAAAACAAATAACTGTTGTTGTGATTTGGCGCTATATAAATAAAATTGAATTGAATTGAATATTCAGCTTTTGGGCTGATTCATGCTTTGCTGCTGTTACTGCCGCTACTGTCTGAAATAAATTTCTCCACCTCAGCCTGCTTTACTTATGCACTTAAATGGCTTCAGTGGACAACTTAGTCATACAGAAGTATTTCTTCGGTCCAGATATATCGGAAGTTGTGAGTGGCTGATCCACTGTCAGAGACTCACCTCCTCCACTGGACAGGCAAACTCAGCATTTTGTATAGAAACACTCTTCTCCCACTTGTCCGCCATGTGGTTGACCTCCTCCAGCTTTTGCTCACAGCTCTTCTGTGTGTTTAGTAGCGTCACTTCATAGAACTCCTGGATATCTGTGGAAATATAGATATTACATGACTCAGGTGCTGGTAACTTCTTCACAGACAACACAGTTAACTTTCACATTTCTACCAAGTTAACCTAAATCAATGCTGAAACAGTTGTACGATACATACAATATACAAAACATATTCCATCAAATAATGGATCTGAGATTCTTACAGTTCAATATCAATATCTCGGCTTAAGGTTAGGTTCTATACATTCACATACCACAACAAAATGTGCATATTCAAGTTTGCTTGTGAAAGCATTCTTTGTGAAAGCAGATGAGATCCTTACACAAATATAATTTATATATTTATGCAAAAATGTATACAAAAACAACTACTGAAACGTTTATACAATTACAAATAAACTGCTGTTCCAGTGGTTAAAAAAGGCAATTTCAAGAGCCCTTGTGTTGAGCCAGCAATAGTGTTCATCTGCATTGTTCTTAATCTCAGCTAATAAAACCCACCCTCATCTCACACTGTGCGCACATCATTCTTACAACTGTACCCTGATCAATTCAGAAATAAGAAAGGACTTACTGAATGAACCTTCCAACACCTAATGTGTGCTTGTATTCATATGACCAAGTGTTCCTTGTACTCAACATGCCTTTAGGATGGAAGGGAACCAATGTTAACACGGATAAGACGGATAAGGACACAGATAAGGACTCCCCAGTGACTTAACCTACAGAGCATTGTAAGAATGTTTTTGTACATTACAAGTTGGGATGGTCAGACCACAAGTGTAGAGGCCAGATTTTCTGACTTATTACTGTATAAAGTGAAAATAAAAATCAAACATAATATTAAAGCTGCAAGCAGAGTTGGGCGGGCCCTCGCACTTGTACCGCGTTGGTGAGGGAGGCGGCCGCGTTGCATATGATGGAGCTCTACCAGTGCGGCTGTGAATTTGCTACGCGCTTCGGACACTGCAAATTACATAAGGTGTTATATGTCACTTCATTTGTCCCCTTTGTGGCGCTACATAGCACTTGGTGCTATGACTATAAATTAATATTAGTGTGTAGATGTGTTCAGGGCGGGACTATTGATACTATTGTATATTTTAGTTACTGTTGCCTTTCTGTCATGTTGAACCAGTCTGTCCATTCTCCTCTGACCTCTGACATGAACAACGCATTTTCGTCCACACAACTGCCGCTCACTGGATATTTTCTCTTTTTTGGACCATTCGCTGTAAACCCTAGAGATGGTTGTGCATGAAAATCCCAGTAGATCAGCAGTTTCTGAAATACTCAGACCAGCCTGTCTGGCACCAACAACCATGCCACATTCAAAGTCACTTAAATCCCCTTTCTTCCCCATTCTGATGCTCGGTTTGAATTTCTGCTGTCTTGACCACATCTACATGCCTAAATGCATTGAGTTGCTGCCATGTGTTCGGCTGATTAGCTATTTGTGTTAACAAGCAATAGAACAGGTGTACCTAATAAAAGAGTGTATAAGGGTCAATGACATATAAGGATTTTCAACAGGCCAATTTTAAAATAAAAAAAATGAAAATATTTATTGCCGTTGTTCAAAAATTAAGAATTCTGTGTACGCATAAATTAATGTTGTTTTTTCAAATTAAATTATTTTAGTGTTTTTTTCATCTACATTACAAAATGTCATGTGGTGTGACCATAATTTATTTTAAAATTAATTAATTTACATAAAAATAAATAAACAGTTTTTACAAGTTCTCAGTAATACAGTATAAAGGTTTAGATACAATGTATTTGCTTTTCTTTTGGGTTTTTGTAAATAATGATCTCCTATTTTTGTTCTCTCTTTTGTTCCCCTCTTAAATGTAGTTAATTGATACATTTTCTCTGTAAATCGCATAAAACTGAAATTTAAAAAAATACCATTCACTTGAAAATACTGTATCAGTAATTAATATTTCAGTCACAGGAATGAGATCTTTTATTTTGAATTTAATACAGTTATTGTTATTATTGGTCGCACCACATGAGTGGTCGCTCCAAATGACATGAAGACCGCATATCATTAAAAAAATATATTTAAAGAGATCAATAAACAAAAATTTCTATACCAAAAATATTTTTATCAGATGTTGTTAAAATTTAACAGAATTTTTGTTAACACAAATATTTCAAAAGTTTTTGATGAGAATCACATTGCACACATTTATTTTAGTGCAGTATACATTCAGGGCTTTATTTTGAACAAACATATAACTTGACTAGAATAGATTTAATCTAATTTCATTAACTGCAGGCATGTGGTGTTAACTGCAAGTATGTTTTTCTCATTTATTGGGTGTGTCAGAGGTGTTACCCAATCAGCAGCCACATTTAAAAGACAGTGAAGCCCAGTGGCTGGCATCCACAAGAGGATGTTCAAGGCACCACCATTTCCATTGAAATAAATGCTGTGCTACATTTTGTTGGGGCTAAAGTTAGCTTCAAACTGAAAATAACTCTACATTTACTTGATTTCACAGGGGAATCGAATGTGGTTCTCCTGTGTGAAAGTCCTGGGTTTGACACAGACAACATGGCATGGGTCGTAAAGCACCATGATAAATCGACCTAAATGGCAGTTTCTCTGGTGAGGACGGGCTGCTACACCAACATGTTGACAAAAAAATGCATTTCCTCCTAGGAAATGGAAACACACACAAGAGCAACATGTTGCTTCATTTAGTTTTAGAGACAACATTTTTTGCTCCTTTTAGCGACTTGCTGCAGGGTCAGAATTAACATGCTGTCCATGGCGACCAGTTTTTCTTTACATGGCAGTGGCAATTGGTAAAACAGTTATAAGTAATTAAATATAACTAATATTGCATAGTTACCAAAGTGAAATTACAAGCTCTAAATTAATATATTTTTTTGCATTTTTCTCACGATATTGTACAAAGACAAAAAAATAAACAAATATTGGTAGAAACAACTTTATATTATTATTTTTTCTTAGGTCATACCACATGATATCCAAAAGTGGCAACTACATACCAGCTGTTAAAATTTAATAATTTTTCCAGATTTGAGAAAGAGTTACAAACCTACTTGCTGTTTCAGTGGGTCCTTTGCAAATTGGTATATTATTCAACTTCCTGTCTTCTAATGGATTTCAACATAAAAGTCCCAAAGTGGTCGTTTGTTGATGGTCGCACCACATGATATTTCATAAAATGGACATCACTGAACCAAGTTTGCTTGCGTATTATTATGGAAATATAAATACTGATGCTTTGCAATTTTGTAGAGGACTACAAAACACTTTGGAAATCATGCCAAATTTTGAACAGATTTAAAGTAATTAACATCCCTAAAAATTCCTAGAAAGAGGAAATACATTAAACTACATCAATTATATATATATATATATATTTATATAGATGTGTGTCAGACTCTCTGTGGTACAAACCACTAGTTGTAAGTTGTCACTAGACAGAATAAAGTTATGCAGTAGAAATAGGTTTTGACTTTTCAAGATATAAAGAATTATAATGAAAAAAAATGTACTAAAGAAAGATCAAACTGGACACCCATTAGCAACACTCTCCTCCGTGTCAATTTGACAAGCCCCCTCTCAACACTGCATTAAATTCCACAACCATCAAAATAATCAGCTATGATTATTAACAGCTATTCCTAAACTGAGCTATATGGGGAAAAAGTTAGTAACCATAGTTTCAGTTTCAAAAATACAGCGGCAGAAAGATATTAAGAGTAACTCACAGTGCAGTAAAACCTCCCTGCTCCCAGACATGTTGCAGTGCTGCTATCCTGTGAAACAGTGTGCTGTGAGAGGACCAGATGTCTGGTGGCAAGTTAGCAGCAAGCCTAATCCTCCGAGATAGAGGCTGCCTGTTCCCTTCAATGCAGACAATGACCTTAAACCCCGCATAGCTGATTTCTAATTCAGCTCTTATATGGATAATATGCGTTACACAGCCAGCTGCCCATTCCAATGTTCCCTTAATGAACAAAGCTCCACTTCTCCCATCAACAAATGAAGTGTTTCAACAACTCATCAACAACCAGGCATCCAATTCTCCACTCTTGTCTATCTAACTTCTACGTAGCCTGCTTGTGTTGAAACCGCATGGACAATTATACTCCCTCTACAGGTAAATTTGAGTAAGCAGGCTGTAAATTTTGTACTTACTGTTAAATCCAAAGAAGAATAAGTTAGACAGGAAGAGATGTTATTGGTTGTTTATCAGTTTATAAGTTATCCATGAAGCCCAGACAAGTCACTGCTATCCTCGTGTGTACTTTCTTTTATATGGCACCGTTTGTTATTTTTACAATATTTAAGTTTTTATGTCCATATCAGATTTGTTTTGATTTTGTGAAATATAACTAACTTTCATCTAATGGTAGCATGCATTTATTTGATTATAGCATGCTGATTAGCAGAAACAGCTAAAACTTACCTTCAGTACTTGTTTTTAAGTAAATGATACATATAGTATAGATAATACTTGCCTTGGTTAAAAAGTTGAGGACAAATCTACTTTACATACCAATGCTAATTTCTGTACTGTCCTCTTACTTACCTGTAAATAACTTTAGACCTAATCTCATACAGCAGGGGTGCAAACTTGTCACCTTTCTGCAAATTTATGTGATTCGTATAGATCAAGTGAGTTTTTGAAAGGGGGGAGTGAGGGGGGTTCTGCCTGCCTAATTTACTTTTGCGTCGAACCTATGCGTAGCCATAGAACTGTGATTGATTGGCTTGGTAGCATGGCATTTCTATCCCCACCAGAAGTGCTCTGAGCCTGCGTATCTGTGTGTGTGTGTCCCATCTTACCGAAGCGGTAAGATAGAAGAAAAATAGAGAAAAGATTTGGGTTTGGGTTTGGCTAAGTCATTTGGCTATATCGGATGCCATTTTCACCTTTTGGTGAACCAACCAATCAGCCTGGATGGGGCGGGACATTTAAAAACAGTTTGACAAGCTACAGCAAAACGAGTGTCGACACGTTTTCAGATTTTTGGTATCGACTTGGTACC